TTTATTGCATTATATTTTGTAATTCATTGCTGGAGGTGTTTCTATTTTTTTAGAGAGTGCAAATTTGAAGACGTATTGAGCATTATTGTCCATAGCGAAGAAAAGAGAACCCATTCCGATCTCGGGCCAATCCGGCACGCTTCTTGTCTGTGAAACCGTTGAGCAGCACGAATCCAATCTCAGGGAATGCCCACACAGTTCATTTATTCACAATTTGGATTTAGCATCACACAGAACCGTTCGTTGCTTAGGGCGGCGGGTACAAAATCAAGATTTGAGCGACAATACGCTCCCTAAAGCTCCACTACACAAATACTATACTACAAAGACACGGTGCGCGCCCAGGGCCGCAGCGGCGGTGACGCAGAGCACGAGGGAGCCGGCGGTGGGGTCGGCGGCGGACCTGGAGGGCGACGGCGACCTGGTGGTGGCGACCACGCGCGCAGCTGCCACGGCCGCGCCGCGGACCTTGGAGGGCATCACCAGCAGGGAGAAGCCCTTGGCTACGGGCACGTCTCATATCAAGAACAAGCCCTTCAACTTGAACGAGGGGTTTCAGCGCGGCAAGGTTACCCACCTGGAAGCTCTCGGCTGAGGTCCAGGTTGAGCAGGGTGTAGATGTTGGCTGCCATGAGGGTCCTCGCGGCAGGCTCGCCGCGACCGCGGCCCGTCGTCGAGGAGGGGCTGGCGTCCAGGGCGGGCAGGTCCACGCCAACGCCGACGACGCGAGCCTGGGCCACCAGGTGGGAAGCCGCGTCCGCGGTCAGACCTGCGGCACATGAGGTCACCCCGTCAGCACCCCCAAAGACTGTCGCGGCTCGCGGGCGGGAGAGGGAGCGGGGGCACATGCCTTGCACTGGGGCGTGGTACGTTGGCGACGTGGTGGTGGCAGGCTGCGGCGCGGGCGTCGTGGCGTGCCGCCCGCGCGCCGAAGCGCCCCACCCGAAGTTGATGAGCAGCACCGAGTTGGGCGGCAGCAGGCCGTGCTTCTTCTCCCAGGCGACGAGGTGCTCGGCCGACAGGGCGAAGCTCGCGTTGCGGGCCGCGTCGGCGGACACGTCCAGCAGCACAGCTGCGGAGGGAGAGGTGTCGAGGTTTAATCGCAATGAGTCGCCAAAGTTCTTCTCTCAGAGTCGAAGCGGGTTGAAGCGCCTGCTAGGTCGGCAGCCCATTCGACAGCGTTGCCTGGCTCTTTCAGCAGCCTCACCGGACACGAGCAGCCTGTCGAGCGGCACCTCGTCCACCTTCCAGCCGCGCTCGTTGAGGTGGAACGGCGCCTCAATGTGCGTGCCGGCCTGGCCGCTGCTGCACGTGGACTGCGTCGACGACCTGGACGTGTTTGAGAGGGAGACACACATTTCGGTGAAGCGAGAGACAAACAATTTTGAAAACTCACCAGCAATCTTTTCATCACGCCGGAACCACGGACTCACCATCCGAACTCTCCCCAAGCCGAGGTGTTCTTGGAGACGGAGAAGGGGTGGTCGGTCGAGGACGCGTTCCTCTCCAGGGCGAGGGTCAGGTCCACGGGGCCGGGGAGTGGCGGCGGCGCGGGGGTGGTGGTGGACGGGGAGCCGCGGCCGCGACCCGCCTGCACGCTGCCGAGCACAAGGAGGGCGTCAAGTCCCTGAAGGAGGCAGCCGCCCCGCCCCTCGCGCGCGTCACGCGTCGTGGTCTCACCCGCACTGGACGAAAGCGAGGCCCAGGAGGACCTGCCTCAGGACCATCGCGAAGCCGGGTGGAGTCTGAGAGGGCGACACCTATAGTCCCACCCCGCGGTGTGTCGTGGAGTGGCGGGTCGGGTCGGGTCACGGGCAAAGACAGCTAGACGATTTCTGCCCATCAAACAAAACCGGAAAACGCACCGAAAAAAATAAATCATCAACAACAGTGTCTTGACGCGCGGATCTTGGGCCGCGGCGGCAGCGAGCTTCCTCGTCGCGCGAGCTGCGCTCACACGCGATCATCGTGATGGTGATGATGGTGATTAATGACGGGGGCTGACGTCAGAGTCTCACCTGTCGCGGACGAGCCTCGCTCGGGGAGGCCGACGACGGCGACCTCATGGACCACGCGGGCGTGGGCGCGAGCAGGCGCGGGCGCAGACGAACGAGGCCCTCTCCCTGCTGGACACACACGCAGTCCTCAACGTGAGTAAGCGCGAGTATCGGTCGCTCTCCGGCCTGGGCGGCGCCGCCCGTGGCGCCAGTCACGATCACGACCGCGAGTCGCGGTGCCGGCCGAATGGAGGGGGACCGGCGATCATGCACGCAGGACTTGCCCCGCTGGAGGACAGGACCGACGACAGGACGCCACCGCCGGTGTGCGTGACACGGCGGCGACGCGTCGCAGGGCAGCAGCAGAGGACGCTGCCAAGCGTGTCCTTCCCCCGCGGGGCCCCGCCCCGCCCGCGGGCACGGCCAGGCACCATCGGATCGGGCACCATTCACCTTACCTGGTCGTCGCGGTCTCGCTGGCGCTCGGCGTGCTCCAGCGGTGTGTGCGGTGCGCCGGCGAGTGCCTCTGATTGGAGCGCAGGCTGCTATCACTGGCTCTGGCGCGGCGGTCGCGAGCCTGAGCCCCGCCGCCGCCGCCGTGCCGCGGCCCCGCGCGGGGCGTCGCGGCGCCCAAACGCGGAGCGCTTCGCAGCGGGCGCGCGCCCGGCACGTGACCGCGCCAACTTTGTTATAAACAAATTTATGCGACATTTCTGCGGTTGCCTTTGTAAACAGCAATAATGTCGTGCGAGGTTCGCTGTTTGGTGTGGCGCCATGCGAGGTGTAACTCCCTATTATGCTTCCTGTATGTCATCACGCCACGGAAAGACAGAGGGAAGACCAGGGCTTCTTCTCCCGCCTTCGTCTCCGTCATCACATGTTCCGAACAGTGTTCCAACACCCCCCCCC